GTGAATGCGGGGTCCGGGGGAGAGCGGATATAGTGAATGCGGGGTCCGGGGAGAGCGGATATAGTGAATGCGGGGTCCGGGGAGAGCGGATATAGTGAATGCGGGATCCGGGGAGAGGGGATATAGTGAATCAAACCTTCTAGGAGGACAGGTGTTGGAATATCAAGTGTAGCCCCTTTGGAGTCGCTAAAGATTTGGGTCCACATATAGTTCTGCACAGCCAGGCAACACACATTTTCTTCAGACTTGCATTTCAGCTTTCATACAGGAGACCAGAAACAGTTCCTGAGATGTTGTTTTTTGATTTTGTTGAAGGAATTGAACTTGGATGGGCTAAGGTGAGTATGGGATGCCCAAGGAGCAGCAAACTGAGGCCAACTTCCTGGCACACTCTTCTAGGAGAGCTCTCGGCCTCTTCCTGGTGTTCCACCCCAGACCCCAGATGAATCCTTCTAGGAGAGCTCTCCAACCTCTCCTGGTGTACCACCCCAGACCCCAGATGAATCCTCTTCTAGGAGAGCTCTCCGGCCTCTCCTGGTGTACCACCCCAGACCCCAGATGAATCCTCTTCTAGGAGAGCTCTCCAGCCTCTCCTGGGTGTACCACCCCAGACCCCAGATGAATCCTCTTCTAGGAGAGCTCTCCAGCCTCTCCTGGTGTTCCACCCCAGACCCCAGATGAATCATCTTCTAGGAGAGCTCTCCAGCCTCTCCTGGTGTGTTCCACCCCAGACCCCAGATGAATCCTCTTCTAGGAGAGCTCTCCGGCCTCTCCTGGTGTACCACCCCAGACCCCAGATGAATCCTTCTAGGAGAGCTCTCCAGCCTCTCCTGGTGTACCACCCCAGATGAATCCTTCTAGGAGAGCTCTCCGGCCTCTCCTGGTGTACCACCCCAGACCTCAGATGAATCCTCTTCTAGGAGAGCTCTCCGGCCTCTCCTGGTGTACCACTCCAGATCCCAGATGAATCCTCTTCTAGGAGAGCTCTCCGGCCTCTCCTGGTGTTCCACCCCAGACCCCAGATGAATCCTTCTAGGAGAGCTCTCCGGCCTCTCCTGGTGTACCACCCCAGACCCCAGATGAATCCTCTTCTAGGAGAGCTCTCCGGCCTCTCCTGGTGTACCACCCCAGACCCCAGATGAATCCTCTTCTAGGAGAGCTCTCCAGCCTCTCCTGGTGTACCACCCCAGACCCCAGATGAATCCTCTTCTAGGAGAGCTCTCCAGCCTCTCCTGGTGTTCCACCCCAGACCCCAGATGAATCCTCTTCTAGGAGAGCTCTCCAGCCTCTCCTGGTGTTCCACCCCAGACCCCAGATGAATCCTCTTCTAGGAGAGCTCTCGGCCTCTCCTGGTGTACCACCCCAGACCCCCCAGATGAATCCTTCTAGGAGAGCTCTCCAGCCTCTCCTGGTGTACCACCCCAGATGAATCCTTCTAGGAGAGCTCTCCAACCTCTCCTGGTGTACCACCCCAGACCTCAGATGAATCCTCTTCTAGGAGAGCTCTCCGGCCTCTCCTGGTGTACCACCGCAGACCCCAGATGAATCCTCTTCTAGGAGAGCTCTCCGGCCTCTCCTGGTGTACCACCCCAGACCCCAGATGAATCCTCTTCTAGGAGAGCTCTCCGGCCTCTCCTGGTGTTCCACCCCAGACCCCAGATGAATCCTCTTCTAGGAGAGCTCTCCAGCCTCTCCTGGTGTACCACCCCAGACCCCAGATGAATCCTCTTCTAGGAGAGCTCTCCAGCCTCTCCTGGTGTTCCACCCCAGACCCCAGATGAATCCTCTTCTAGGAGAGCTCTCCGGCCTCTCCTGGTGTTCCACCCCAGACCCCAGATGAATCCTCTTCTAGGAGAGCTCTCCGGCCTCTCCTGGTGTACCACCCCAGACCCCAGATGAATCCTTCTAGGAGAGCTCTCCAGCCTCTCCTGGTGTACCACCCCAGATGAATCCTTCTAGGAGAGCTCTCCAACCTCTCCTGGTGTACCACCCCAGACCTCAGATGAATCCTCTTCTAGGAGAGCTCTCCGGCCTCTCCTGGTGTACCACCCGCAGACCCCAGATGAATCCTCTTCTAGGAGAGCTCTCCGGCCTCTCCTGGTGTACCACACCCCAGACCTAAGATGAATCCTCTTCTAGGAGAGCTCTCCGGCCTCTCCTGGTGTTCCACCCCAGACCTCAGATGAATCCTCTTCTAGGAGAGCTCTCCGGCCTCTCCTGGTGTACCACCACAGACCCCAGATGAATCCTCTTCTAGGAGAGCTCTCTGGCCTCTCCTGGTGTTCCACCCCAGACCTCAGATGAATCCTCTTCTAGGAGAGCTCTCCGGCCTCTCCTGGTGTACCACCACAGACCCCAGATGAATCCTCTTCTAGGAGAGCTCTCCGGCCTCTCCTGGTGTACCACCCCAGACCCCAGATGAATCCTTCTAGGAGAGCCCTACAACTTCTCCTGGTGTACCACCTTAGACCCCAGATGAATCCTCTTCTAGGTGGCCTGGGGTCACTAGGGGGCCCAATGAGATGCCCCTGGTACCTTTTTCATAGGCTTTTTTTGAGTTTGGGCAAGGACACAGGGGCCCCATGATCCCCTATTGCCCGGGAGCCCCATGAGTTGTCAGTCCGCCTCTGTGTACCACCCCAGACCCCAGATGAATCCTCTTCTAGGAGAGCCCTCCAACCTCTCCTGGTGTACCACCCAGACTACCACGATGAACAGTCCCAGATGGGGGCTAGTCAGGTTTCCCACCAGAATTCCTCTTTGCTCGTATCTGGCCCAGGGGGTGTAGGATCACTCACTCTTCTTCTCCTGTGAGCTTGTTGGTTTGGTGGCTGCATACAGGACTTCCGCTGGGCTGACTCCTTCCCTGCTGCACAGGTGGTCCTCTGTCAGGGGACTCCTGAGGTTGAATGATTGCCCTCTCCAGCAACCCTGCCTGGAAGTAGGCACCTTCCCACTGCGGGGTCCGGGGAGAGCGGATATAGTGAATGCGGGGTCCGGGGAGAGCGGATATAGCGAATGCGGGGTCCGGGGAGAGCGGATATAGTGAATGCGGGGGTCCGGGGAGAGCGGATACAGGGAATGCGGGGTCCGGGGAGAGTGGATACAGAGAATGCGGGGTCCGGGGAGAGCGGATACAGGGAAATGCGGGGTCCGGGGAGAGCGGATATAGTGAATGCGGGGCCCGGGAGAGCGGATATAGTGAATGCGGGGTCCGGGGAGAGCGGATATAGTGAATGCGGGGTCCGGGGAGAGCGGAAACAGAGAATGTGGGGTCCCGAGGAGAGCGGATATAGCGAATGCGGGGTCCGGGGAGAGCGAATATAGAGAATGCGGGGTCCGGGAGAGCGGATATAGGGAATGCGGGGTCCGGGGAGAGCGGATATAGTGAATGCGGGTCCGGGGAGAGCGGATATAGTGAATGTGGGGTCCGGGCAGAGCGGATATAGTGAATGCGGGGTCCGGGGGAGAGCGGATATAGTGAATGCGGGGTCCGGGAGAGCGGATATAGTGAATGCGGGGTCCGGGAGAGGGGATATAGTGAATGCTGGGTCCGGGGAGAGCGGATATAGTGAATGCGGGGTCCAGGGAGAGAGGATATAATGAATGCGGGGTCCGGGAGCGGATATAGTGAATGTGGGGTCCAGGGAGAGCGGATAATAGTGAATGCGGGGTCCGGGAGAGCGGATATAGTGAATGCGGGGTCCGGGGAAGAGCGGATATAGTGAATGCGGGGTCCGGGGAGAGCGGATATAGTGAATGCGGGGTCCGGGGAGAGCGGGATATAGTGAATGCGGGGTCCGGGGAGAGCGGAAACAGTGAATGTGGGGTCCGAGGAGAGCGGATATAGCGAATGCGGGGTCCGGGGAGAGCGATATATAGTGAATGCGGGGGTCCGGGGGAGAGCGGATATAGGGAATGCGGGGGGTCCGGGGAGAGCGGATATAGTGAATGCGGGGTCCGGGGAGAGCGGATATAGTGAATGTGGGGTCCGGGGAGAGCGGATATAGTGAATGCGGGGTCCGGGGAGAGCGGATATAGTGAATGCGGGGTCCGGGAGAGAGAGCGGATATAGTGAATGCGGGGTCCGGGGAGAGGGGATATAGTGAATGCTGGGTCCGGGAGAGCGGATATAGTGAATGCGGGGTCCAGGGAGAGAGGATATAATGAATGCGGGGTCCGGGGAGAGCGGATATAGTGAATGCGGGGTCCAGGGAGAGCGGATATAGTGGAATGCGGGGTCCGGGGGAGAGCGGATATAGTGAATGCGGGGTCCGGGGAAGAGCGGATATAGTGAATGCGGGGTCCGGGAGAGCGGATATAATGAATGCGGGGGTCCGGGGAGAGCGGATATAGTGAATGCGGGGTCCGGGGAGAGCGGATATAGTGAATGCGGGGTCCGGGGAGAGCGGATATAGCGAATGCGGGGTCCGGGGAGAGCGAATATAGTGAATGCGGGGTCCGGGGGAGAGCGGATATATAGGGAATGCGGGGTCCGGGGAGAGCGGATATAGTGAATGCGGGGTCCCGGGGAGAGCGGATATGGTGAATGCGGGGTCCGGGGAGAGCGGATATAGTGAATGTGGGGTCCGGGCAGAGCGGATATAGTGAATGCGGGGTCCGGGGAGAGCGGATATAGTGATGAATGCGGGGTCCGGGGAGAGCGGATATAGTGAATGCGGGGTCCGGGGAGAGGGGATATAGTGAATGCGGGGTCCGGGGAGAGCGGATATAGAGAATGCGGGGTCCGGGGAGAGCGGATATAGCGAATGCGGGGTCCGGGGAGAGCGGAATATAGAGAATGCGGGGTCCGGGGAGAGCGGATATAGGGAATGCGGGTCCGGGGAGAGCGGATATAGTGAATGCGGGGTCCGGGGAGAGCGGATATGGTGAATGCGGGGTCCGGGGAGAGCGGATATAGTGAATGTGGGGTCCGGGCCAGAGCGGATATAGTGAATGCGGGGTCCGGGGAGAGCGGATATAGTGAATGCGGGGGTCCGGGGAGAGCGGATATAGTGAATGCGGGGTCCGGGGAGAGCGGATATAGTGAATGCGGGGTCCGGGGAGAGCGGATAAAGTGAATGCGGGGTCCGGGGAGAGCGGAACTATAGTGAATGCGGGGTCCGGGGAGAGCGGATATAGGGAATGCGGGGTCCGAGGAGAGCGGATATAGATGAATGCGGGGGTCCGGGGAGAGGGGATATAGTGAATGCGGGGTAACCGAGGAGAACGGATATAGTGAAATGCGGGGTCCGGGGAGACCAGATATAGTGAATGTGGGGGGTCCGGGGAGAGCGGATATAGTGAATGCGGGGTCCGGGGAGACCAGATATAGTGAATGTGGGGTCCGGGGAGAGCGGATATAGTGAATGTGGGGTCCGGGGAGAGCGGATACAGTGAATCCTGCGGGGTCCGGGGAGAGCGGATATAGTGAATGCGGGGTCCGGGGAGAGCGGATATGGTGAATGCGGGGTCCGGGGAGAGCGGATACAGTGAATGCGGGGTCCGGGGAGAGCGGATACAGTGAATGCGGGGTCCGGGGATAGCGGATACAGTGAATGCGGGGTCCGGGGAGAGGGGAATTACAGTGAATGCGGGGTCCGGGGAGAGCGGATATGGTGAATGCGGGGTCCGTAAGGGTCCCCCCCCCCCTTCTATACCTACAATTACAAAGGAACATTTTGGCTCCACATTCTGTATACTTCAATGTATCGGTCAGGGCCCTTTTTCTCTACCTTTTATTTCATGTTACATTGAAGCTCTGATGAGCGGGGCCCTCCTAACTCTCCTGCGGGGCCCTCCTAACTCTGGTGCGGGGCCCTCCTAACTCTCCTGCGGGCCCTCCTAACTCTCCTGCGGGCCCTCCTAACTCTCCTGCGGGGCCCCTCCTAACTCTCCTGCGGGGCCCTCCTAACTCTGGTGCGGGGCCCTCCTAACTCTCGTGCGGAGCCCTCCTAACTCTCGGTGCGGGGCCCTCCTAACTCTCCTACGGGGCCCTCCTAACTCTGGTGCGGGGCCCTCCTAACTCTCTGGTGCGGGGCCCTCCTAACTCTTTGTGCGGGGCCCTCCTAACTCTCCGTGCGGGGCCCTCCTAACTCTCGTGCGGGGCCCTCCTAACTCTTGTGGGGGGGCCCTCCTAACTCTGGTGCGGGGCCCTATCTCCTAACTCTGGTGCGGGGCCCTCCTAACTCTCGTGCGGGGCCCTCCTAACTCTCGTGCGGGGCCCTCCTAACTCTCCTACGGGGCCCTCCTAACTCTGGTGCGGGGCCCTCCTAACTCTGGTGCGGGGCCCTCCTAACTCTGTGCGGGGCCCTCCTAACTCTCCTGCGGGGCCCTCCTAACTCTCCTGCTTTCATAATAATAAATATAAATCCTGCATAATAATAAACAATTTCCTGAGCCCACGGCAGAACTTTCGGGGTCAGTCTGAAGGCCGCCACGTTGTGCTCATGGAGTCTACAAGTCAAGTACACAATTTGGGTGAAGAAGGATTTCAGACTCCATGCAGATGGAAGGTGATAGCAGCGGCACATAATCAGGAGGTGCTGGAAGTGAATATTGTTCGGTGTTTATAGTCGCTGACCTCATCTTGTGGAATTATGATGGAATTACATTGGTCCCATAATGAGGAGGCCTCATAAAGGCAGGAATAATCAGGGTGTAAGCGGTGTGAGACACATGTCAGCCCCGGCAGTGCAGCAGTTATAGGGAGACATATGAAACACTTTATTAGCACCAACGGGGGTGAAGGGAGAAGGAAATTGGTATTTGGAGGATTTTTACTGGATTTTATTCCCGCCGTTCGCTTTCCCATTTCCTGCCAATAATAACCCTTCATGCAAGAACGCAATCTGTGTGACTGACATCGCTGATTGGAGGGGGGGGATCCCAGCAGGTCCTCCAGCCGGGCACAAGGCTCCATATGCATCGAATCACCACAACGACCTTTCTGGGAGCTTCCACAGAACTCAGCACAACGAAGAGATCCAGAATTCCTGGGAAATTTTCCACCAAAATCTTCCCATGGAGGGACAAGGACCAGGTACATCCCAGACATTCTATGAGCATCTGTGTATTGGGGGCACATGAAGGGCGGGCTTCTGTAATGTCCTACATTCCACATATGAGGGTCTATAGATGGCAGGAATTGTAGGTATGAGGGTCTATAGATGGAATTGTAGGTATGAGTGTCTATAGGAATTGTAGGTATGAGAATTAGATGGAATTGTAGGTATGAGGGTCTATAGATGGAATTGTAGGTATGAGGGTCTATAGATGGAATTGTAGGTATGAGGGTCTATAGATGGCAATTGTAGGTATGAGGGTAGGTATGAGGGTCTATAGATGGAATTGTAGGTATGAGGGTCTATAGATGGAATTGTAGGTATGAGTGGTCTATAGATGGAATTGTAGGTATGAGGGTCTATAGATCGCAGGAATTGTAGATATGAGGGTCTATAGATCGCAGGAATTGTAGGTATGAGGGTCTATAGATCGCAGGAATTGTAGGTATGAGGGTCTATAGATCGCAGGAATTGTAGATATGAGGGTCTATAGATCGCAGGAATTGTAGGTATGAGGGTCTATAGATGGCAGGAATTGTAGGTATGAGGGTCTATAGATGGAATTGTAGGTATGAGGGTCTATAGATCGCAGGAATTGTAGGTATGAGGGTCTATAGATCGCAGGAATTGTAGGTATGAGGGTCTATAGATGGAATTGTAGGTATGAGGGTCTATAGATGGCAGGAATTGTAGGTATGAGGGTCTATAGATGGAATTGTAGGTATGAGGGTCTATAGATGGAATTGTAGGTATGAGGGTCTATAGATGGGAATTGTAGGTATGAGGGTCTATAGATGGCAGGGAATTGTAGATATGAGGGTCTATAGATTGTAGGTATGAGGGTCTATAGATGGCAGGAATTGTAGATATGAGGGTCTATAGATGGAATTGTAGATATGAGGGTCTATAGATGGAATTGTAGATATGAGGGTTATAGATGGAATTGGTATGAGGGTCTATAGATGGCAGGTATGAGGGTCTATAGATGGAATTTGTAGATATGAGGGTCTATATCGCAGGAATTGTAGGTATGAGGGTCTATAGATGCAGGAATTGTAGGTATGAGGGTCTATAGATCGCAGGAATTGTAGGTATGAGGGTCTATAGATGGAATTGTAGATATGAGGGTCTATAGATGGAATTGTAGGTATGAGGGTCTATAGATGGAATTGTAGGTATGAGGGTCTATAGATGGAATTGTAGGTATGAGGGTCTATAGATGGAATTGTAGGTATGAGGGTCTATAGATGGCAGGAATTGTAGGTATGAGGGTCTATAGATGGAATTGTAGATATGAGGGTCTATAGAGATGGAATTGAAGATATGAGGGTCTATAGATGGAATTGTAGGTATGAGGGTCTATAGATGGAATTGTAGGTATGAGGGTCTATAGAGGGAATTGTAGGTATGAGGGTCTATAGTACAACATGGCAGGAATTGTAGGTATGAGGGTCTATAGAGGGAATTGTAGGTATGGAGGGTCTATAGATGGCAGGAATTGTAGATATGAGGGTCTATAGATGGAATTGTAGATATGAGGGTCTATAGATGGAATTGTAGAGTATGAGGGTCTATAGATCGCAGGAATTGTAGGTATGAGTGTCTATAGATGGAATTGTAGGTATGAGGGTCTATAGATGGAATTGTAGATATGAGGGTCTATAGATCGCAGGAATTGTAGGTATGAGGGTCACAGAGTATAGATGGCAGGAATTGTAGGTATGAGGGTCTATAGATGGAATTGTAGGTATGAGGGTCTATAGATGGAATTGTAGGTATGAGGGTCTATAGACAGGAATTGTAGGTATGAGGGTCTATAGATCGCAGGAATTGAGGTATGACATCACAGAGGTCTATAGATGGAATTGTAGGTATGAGGGTCTATAGATGGAATTGTAGGTATGAGGGTCTATAGATGGAATTGTAGGTATGAGGGTCTATAGATGGAATTGTAGATATGAGGGTTCATAGAGGGAATTGTAGGTATGAGGGTCTATAGATGGAATTGTAGATGATGAGGGTCTATAGATGGCAGGAATTGTAGGTATGAGGGTCTATAGATGGCAGGAATTGTAGGTATGAGTGTCTATAGATTGAGTAATAGAATTGACATAGGTATGAGGGTCTATAGATGGAATTTGTAGATATGAGGGTCTATAGATGGCAGAATTGTAGGTATATGAGGGTCTATAGATGGCAGGTACAATTGTAGAGTATGAGGGTCTATAGATGGAATTGTAGATATGAGGGTCTATAGATGGAATTGTACACAGAGAGTATGAGGGTCTATAGATGGAATTGTAGATATGAGGGTCTATAGATTGAATTGTAGGTATGAGGGTACTATAGATCACAGAGGAATTGTAGGTATGAGTGTCTATAGATGGAATTGTAGGTATGAGGGTCTATAATGGCAGGAATTGTAGGTATGAGTGTCTATAGATGGAATTGTAGGAATGAGGGTCTATCACAGATGGAATTGTAGGTATGAGGGTCTATAGATGGAATTGTAGATATGAGGGTTCATAGAGGGAATTGTATAGAAGTATGAGGGTCTACAGAGATGGAATTGTAGATATGAGGGTCTATAGATGGCAGGAATTGACATAGGTATGAGTGTACTATAGATTGAATTGTAGGTATGAGGGTCTATAGATGGGAATTGTAGATATGAGGGTCTATAGATGTACACAGGAATTGTAGGTATGAGGGTCTATAGATGGCAGGAATTGTAGATATGAGGGTCTATAGATGGAATTGTAGATATGAGGATCTATAGATGGAATTGTAGATATGAGGGTCTATAGATGGAATTGTAGATATGAGGGTCTATAGATTGAATTGTTGAATTGTAGGTATGAGGGGTCTATAGATGGCAGGAATTGTAGATATAGAGAGGGTCTATAGATGGAATTGTAGGTATGAGGGTCTATAGATGGAATTGTAGATATGAGGGTCTATAGATGGCAGGAATGTAGTATGAGGGTCTATAGATGGCAGGAATTGTAGTATATGAGAGGTCTATAGATGGAATTGTAGATATGAGGGTCTATAGATGGAATTGTAGGTATGAGGGTCTATAGATGGAAGATTGTACAGGTATGAGGGTCTATAGATGGCAGGAATCACATACAAGGGCCAATCACATAATCTGTAGAGAAAATGTGACACATGAAAAACGATTTTTTAAAAGTACACTTGACATTATACAAGGAATACATCACATGACATCACAGAGTATAGAAGTACACATGACATCACAGAGTATAGAAGTACACATGACATCACAGAGGAGTATAGAAGTACACATGACATCACAGAGGAGTATAGAAGTACACATGAGATCAGAGTATAGAAGTACACATGACATCACAGAGTATAGAAGTACACATGACATCACAGAGTATAGAAGTACACATGACATCACAGAGTATAGAAGTACACATGACATCACAGAGTATAGAAGTACACATGACATCACAGAGTATAGAAGTACACATGACATCACAGAGTATAGAAGTACACATGACATCACAGAGTATAGAAGTACACATGACATCACAGAGGAGT